TGAATCAGCCTCCAGACCAGTTAAAGTAGGTATAGCTTGTTAAACTTCAGTTTTGTAACTGTCGAAGATTTGCAGCCTGACGGGTTCTATATTTTACCTTCTATCTCTTCACTGCCATTCGCTTTCTCATCAGAACTTGAATTTATAATTTCCATTGTCTACAGAATTTGCAATATTTTGTTACCACGGGTTCCCATGTTTTAAATATCTTTAGGTTAACTGTTAACAAAATAATATATGACAATAAAACTATTAAGAATTGAATAATAATAAAGTAACCTTTATTATTATTGATAATAACATGTACACACAAAGTGACTAATTGGAGTAAACTGCTAGTTGCTAGATTAAAAAGCAGTATCTCAAGTTATTTTCCTAACATTATTGATTGAAAATGGTTTCCAACAAAATCTCAACACGACCGCAGCTTTCATTGATCTAACTTGGGCTTACGATACGGTATGGAAAGAAGGCATGGTATTAGGTGATACCATTCAAAAAAATTAATAGCCTAGTAAATCAAATGCAGTGCAACAAATTATTTCAAACTAGCGTTAATGGGAAAACTAGTAAATTCAAAAGTTTACAAAATGGCTTACCCCAAGGATCGGTTCTATAGCCGCTCTTGTTTAACATTTACACGTCAAACACTCATATTGCAATCTTCCGAAAATTTGTTTATGCAGATGGTATGGCATTAGATATACAAACAAGAAACGTCGAGAACGTCCAGGCTATTCTAGAAGGCGACCTAAATATTATTATTATATATTTTAAAAATAAGGGCCTTCAACCAAATCCTAAAAAAAACAAAAATTACTACTTTGCATCTATATAGTCCTGAAGTAAACCACAGATTAAACATAGAATGCGAAAGAGTTACCCTAAAACATAACCAAAACCCAAAAAATCTCGGTGTTATAAATACTATGTCGTATTCTAACTTTCAAGCAAGACTTAGATAAATCGACAGCTAAAGTAACAACATCAGCAACGCAATCATTCAAAAGCTTTCAGACATTTCTTAGGGAGCCAATATAGCGCTCTTGTATTAGTCTATTCAATTGCCGAATATTGTGCTCCAGTCTGGCTAAACAGTCATCACACTAAACTGCTCCACTTCTACATAAACAATTAAATCAAACCATGAGATATTTAAACGGGATCATAAAGAGTACGCCAACTCAATAGCTTCTGGTTTTAAGCAACATTGCACCACCCAAAGCACGAGGGTTATTGATTAGCTAAATACCGACATTGATTAGCTAAATCAGGGCCAACTGCGCCTGAAATCTCGAAACCTATTAACAAGAATAGCTAACAATCTTCCAAACAATTTTACAATCAATGAGCATTGGATAGGTGAGTGAGACGAAGAAGTAAACAACTCACATCTAATAGAAAATCCCATAGTCAAACCCAACCGTTTCTCTCTTCCGCCCCGAGTTTAATGTAATCTGAACCGAATCAGAGTAGGTCATAGAGTACGCAAAAAATCACTAAAAAGATCTAATTTACCCAATTCAATATACAAAATCAACAAATGCAAAAGTATTTTTTTTTATTTATTTTTTACTTTAAATGTATTATTTAATTATTAGAAGGCCATGAATCTAAACTTAGACCAATTTTTAATACCTATAAATAATTTAAAATTACAGTTTCTTGCATATCTAAATTTAAAATCACTTTCCTCTTCAGTATTAATTAATAATTTTGATTTTCCCTATTTACCACTTAATATTTTATAAGATTATTAATTAATGATTTCTATGTGATTCCTTTCTATGGTTACTTTTAATGAAAAATAATTTTTTTCATGAAATTATTAATAAAGAAACTTCCCATTTTTTGCTAACTTTTTCAGACATGAAACGGAAAACTTAAACATAAGAAGTCAACATGAATAAATATGAACCTTTTAAAACAAGTAAATCGGTACTCACCGAAGGAACCGCAGACGTTCGGATATAATTAGCGTCTCTTTGTAAATAAAATGAAGTCGCGTTTACTAAAATAACAAGATATTTTCTTAACACCGACACTACACATTACTCCCCTGAGTTAGTGAGTTATAGTCTAAAAAAATCATTATGAAACTGACTGGCCAGTTGGTTGTGAAAACCAGTACCAATAAAACACAAAACAAACACACAAAATGATTATAAATATTACAATCACATAGATATTATGTCAAATCTGTGTCACTATCACTGTCGTCTCTTAAACTGATGATAATATTTTGTATATTATTTGTAGGAAACTATGAATTCTCAGCTTTTATGATATGTGAGACCACTTTTCCAACTATTCGCATCAATGTTGAGTACTTTCCTTTTAATTAGATGCAGAACAGATGCATTTAAATGTGCATATTATATGTACTATGTATATGTATTATTTTTTCGAACTTTTGACTTAAGTTGATACCACATGTTCGATTGAGGTAAATACACAGTAATATGGCGGAAGTCTTAAAATGTGCTGTTTGATATATTACCCGTTTTCCCAAAACTTATTAATTTTCACGGCCGGTCCAGTCTGTTTGACTAAATTAAGATCTTCATAATTGTGCTCGCATTTTCTTAGTTGAGACAAATAATGATTAATAAAAGAATACAATAATTATGGTAAATTTGTATGTTTATAAAAAGAGTTTTTTGACATTACGCTTGAATGATAATATTTGATTGGATTATTTGTACCTATCTACAGTTGACTTGGCTAAATGTCGGTCCTGGCAGCTTGGGTAGCTGTGATAATTATACAACAATAGAGTATTTACAAGGGATTGTTTAGTTTTACAGCTGTTATTAATATTACTTTTATAATGAGACACTAAATTTCTGGATACAGTTTATAAGTGTAACGTTTGACTAACATGTGAGGTTCATCCAACATATCGTTTAAAAGTTGCGACAAATAGAAATTTCAGTTAAAATTCACACCTTGCCCGTATATTAATGAACAATTGAAGCAGACACTGTTTGATGTTTATTTGTTTTCTCCCAAGGGGGCTTTCATACGTGTTGGATTTTTACATCAGTAAAGAAACTTTGCTGGTGAGAACTTTTTCTTCTTAACGTGCCTTATCAAGTCCCCTTGACGTTGGCGATTAACATGGCGAAACTGTCTCTGTCTCGGGCTATTCTAAAGAGTTGCTCAGCTTTCCTTATTCCTGTCCACTCCCTTATATTCTTCAACCAATAGGCCTGCTTTCTACCAATTCCTCTGCATCCTTCGATTTTACCCATCATAATAAGTTGAAGAATATTATATCGGTCTCCTCTTACTACGTGTCCAAAATAGGCCATCTTTCTATATTTGATGTTATCAAGCAGCTCGCGAGCAGCGTTTGCTCTCTCAAGGACTGCCACATTTGTCAGCATAGCCGTATATATAATTTTTAGTATACGTCAGTGAAGCCACATTTCAAAGGCCTCCGGACGATTATTGGTGGATTTTTTTAATGTCCATGCTTCGACACCGTATAAGAGAACTGACCAAATGTAGCATTTAACCATTCGCTTTCGAAGTTGAAGTTGCAAGTTATCATTACAGAAGAATGACCTCATTTTTAAAAATGTCGTGCGGGCTATCTCGATTCTACATTTTATCTCTTGATCTGGATCTAGTTGTTCAGTAATATGGCAACCAAGATAATTAAAACTGGACACTCTTTGAATTATATGACCATCAACATATAATCGTGCATCTTGATGTGCTAAACGGCTAAACACCATGTGTTTTGTTTTTGAACAGTTTATGTTTAGGCCAAACTCTCTTCCCACTGTATCAATGGCATTTAAAAGGCATTGTAGTTCATTCATGTGATCACTTAAAATAACTGTATCGTCTGCATATCTGATTGTAGTTATCAGAATTCCATTAACTTTCACGCCCCATTCCAAATTATGCAGCGCTTCTTTAAATATTATATCTAAATATAAATTAAATAACAGTGGGGATAGTATACAACCCTGTCTGACACCTCTTTGTATTTTACATATTTCTGTTGATTTTCCGTTTATGCAAGCTGTCGCTGTTTGACGCCAGTATAACTTTTCTATGAATCGTATGTCTTGACTCTCAACTCCTTTATCTTCTAATATTGTAATTAATTTGTGATGCTGTACTCGATCAAAGGCCTTTTCATAGTCAATAAATACAGCAAAGACGTCTTTCCTTTGATCTCGACATTTCTGCAGTAATACGTTTAGTGCAAAGAGGGCGTCCCGAATTCCCTGTCCATTTCTGAAGCCAAATTGTGTTTCATCCTGGTCTTCTTCACATTTATCTCTGATTCTACTGTGGATAATGCGTAGAAATATTTTCAAAGTGTGGCTCATAAGGCTTATCTTTCTATAATCGCTACAGTTTTTCGGACGTTGTTTTTTTTTGGTAGTGTTATGAATTCTGACTTTAACCAATCTTCAGGAATATCACCACTCGAATAAAAGAGAACGCTAGGAATAATTGGAGATCCAACTGATTGGATTCCCAAAGAAAAGAGCGACTTATATTTTTATGTAACTTATATATTTTTTACTATCTAAGTACAATTTTTTACTGGACTGACAAGAAGCCATCATTTTTGCCCGACATTTTATAACGAATCTCTTGTTTTTTAAAATTGCGTATGTGTTGGAACTTAAAGTCAAACACAGAATACCTTGTGTCACACAAAACATAAAACATATTAAAGTATATTGTGTTAAGAATTTATTTCACCAACAATACGAGGTGGGAATATGTATAGTTCCTTATGAATCACCCCTTATAAAAATTAAATAGTATAATTTAATCCTACATTTATATAACATTATTAAGGACTTTTGATATTGAAAAATTTATAACTAGCATCAAACAGATAAAAACGGGTTTTACACTAACAATACTGTATCAATCGAATCAATATTTTACTAAAAATGAATATTAAAGCTTAATTGAAAATCCGTGTAATAATACATGAGATTAACATTTATATTTTATGTTTTTAGCGACAATCCTCTCCATTACTGATGGTATGTGTGTCGCATGGAGTGCCCCTATGGTGCCCTATTTTATTAGCGAACAAAGTCATATAAAAATGACCCAGGAACAGGCTGAATGGATCGAAACTTGTTTCCTCATTGGCGTAGTGTGTGCCATTCCCATAACCGCGTACGTCACGAATAAACTTGGAAGAAAAAAATGTCTGATTTTGGCTAGTACTGTCCTCATGATCTGCTGGATTGCCATAGCGCTCGTTACTAAGAAGGAATATATTTACGCTGCAAGGGTATTTACTGGTATGGGAATTAATCTGGGATTTGTTTCTGTGCCAATCTATATAGGAGAAATTGCTCAAAAGGAAATTAGAGGATTCCTTACAAGTTTGATGCAGATTATGGTGATAATAGGTAATTGAATCAAATTTTTGTTTAATAATACACTGTGACCAAAGATGTTTTAATAATTTTAGTTACTTTTTAATATATTTTTAGGTTGTCTAAATATTTCACATTTTAACATTTAAATAATATGAGGTTGGCAGTTCTGATAAACGAGTAACAGTTCATTTTTATTCAGAGAAATGAGTGGCTTCATATCAAAGACGGACATGTGTCATGCAAGAAGAATTGAAATCAATTGGTTTTTTTGTACATAAATGTCCATGTTTGATTCAAATGTGATGGTAGGTGTCCGTTTTTGATGCCAAAAAAAATTGTGTTTGAAAGAGTGAACCCTCGATTTGGACCTACCTTAAAATTTAATGCTTATAACATTCATGTAGGGAATCAGGTATTTTAAATGAAAATTCCAATTTTAGAATCTTTAATTCAAGTTGCATTAGTACCTACCTACAAAGCAATTTAACTGAAAATATATAAAGTAACATATTCGAACTGATAAAGTATTTAAACTTTAGTAAGATTTAAATTGAAATTATCATTTTCACACTCACAGGAATCGTGAAATTCAGCCGTTATTTTAGGTTCTGCTTACATTATGTTTTTGTACCACTGCGAAGTACCATTCTACCTCCAATTTACTGCAAAATGTTGCAATTTTGCTTCTAATGTCATACCAATACGAATTTCTTTTGGGTTGATCTGTCCAATAGTGCAGTTGGCCTTACAAATTGTTTCCCAATTTAGTTTTTCGAAGAACTGTTCGACGGCAGGTAGAAATTATGAAATGAAGTTGACCCGCTGTTTTGGTAAAACTTTTCGTGTCTTGTTTCCAGTCCAACGGTACCCAATTCCTTCCAATCAACTTAATCGTACCATTAATCGTACCGTATTAAAAAAATTATGATACGCGCACTTTAATCAGATACTTTTGTCAAAACAAGGTTCTTCTGACAATCAAAACTCAAAATAAAACATAGTTGTGGTTTCTCTCACAGGTCTTGGAAGAATAATTGGGCCTGCTTCTTGTACAGCTCCATTTTGATTTTTACACACTTTTTTTCCTTCGGTTTTCCCACAAGGTTTTGTAATTCTAGGCAAGTACTATATTCATTCATTTTAGGGTAAAATAATCTAATGTTGAAGTCTTAGCAAAATATTTTCCCGAAAAATCCCTGAGTAACCCTCTCAGATTCTTCTTTACATAATTGGACATTTTCCAGAGTTTGGCGATATTCAGGTCTGATGGTAGGTAGACACGTGATGTGTTGTAGTAAATAGTGCGATTTAATAGCTTGAAAACTACAGATAAACTTTTTTACTTCTCTTTTCGGAGCAAACTTAACTTCCTTGTGGTTTCCGCCTTGTGTTTTTACAGGGACATGAGATACATCGATCTTGAATTTTCAGAACACTATTATAGTTCTATACTTAGTAATAGGCTGCAAAACCTTGAGAAAAACGTTTCTGCAAACGTTGAGATTGTTGCCACCGTAGTTTACAACCGAATATTGAAAGATTGTGGTTTTCCCCTGTATAAACTAAATCTTCTTTGTTTTGGGGTTGGGTGGGCCGGCCCGACAGTATTTCAAAATTAACGCATCTTGCTTGCTTTTTTATGGCATGGAGTAAAAGGTTTTGTGGAACTCAAAAGAGGAAGACCTTTGGCAAAGTATCTGCATGAACATACAAAAGGAGAAATTAATTAAATTTTAGTTAATTTAATGAATAGTCTACAGATTGAACGAGTTAAATTCGGAACATACGAAATATATGTGTTTCGGCTCAACTCCGGTCTAGGTGGCTGGCCAACAAAAGGTTGTCAAATAATTATATTATAAAAATCCAATACTTTAGCGGACTGCTGGATTCTGAACTAATTCAAGAACTTATTCATAGGTGGTCAAACCACCTATCGCTTCCTAAAGCCGGCCACTCACGGTACAGCGGTGTCGTTCGACATAATCGGACAGAGGCGTTGTTCAATTTGTTGGTATATCTGGTGCGCCCACACACCATACTGCGCCGCAGTATTTGTTCGGTTCTCGACCATCTCAAATTAAACAATCATTTTAGCGTCTCTTACTTTGTGTATAACTAAGCGTAAAAAGAAACCTAAAATAAAACGTAGATTCTGGTGCAAAGAATCCAAGATTTTGGTGCAAAATAAATCTCGTCTGCCTCTGCACCCGCTTTACTGGACTGCAATGCTAATTTTAATTCTCTTTTATAAGATGTTCTAAAATTATTAATTTTTTTTATTACATACTCTTCATTCGCATCTTTGTTTACTTCTTGGAACTTTATAACTAGAATGTCCATTGCCTGTTTTCGGGCGTTTCTATCGTGATACGCTTCATCTTTTATTCGCTATAAGCATTCATGTATTTTATATAATTCCAAAAACTCTCTTAAAAAATTCTCGCTAAATCAAGCCACTTCGATTTTCTATAATATGATCAAAGCAAGTGTGTAGTTAAAAACGAAGTTGAACAACGCCGCTGTATCGTGAGTGGCCGGCTTTAGGTAAGCCCATCGAGCAATAAGACAAAAGAGGGAATCTAATCCTTATGAAAAGGAGACCAAAAAAGTGGCCTCTGATAGCGGACATATCCGGAAATGCGAATGCGCGAAATTTAAATTTTCCGACACTTATCAACAGTAGCTATATAATATTTTTCAGAATGTGTCTTAGACGAGAAAGTTTTACCTAATTATTAATGATAAGAGTCTAAAATGCGAAATAATTGTTAAAAAACTTCAATATAAATAAGATTTCATGTGACATTTGGGACAAACAATAACATAACCCAACTAAATTTGATGTCAAACAAAGAGAGAGACTCTCTTTCCTTGTTTAATGTGGCCTCTAAAGATCGCACTTCCTGTCTAACAATATGTTTGCCCCCACTACCTTTACATTTCCTCTATTGTCTTTTTGCTCGATGGGTAAGCCCCTCTTTCGTTTATCGGAGATAGAGATTTTAAGCGGTGTTGCCAATATCATTCCTCTAGATGTTTCTAAAATAACTACAAACTTCTGAAATAACTACAAACCATTAAGTTAATTTTTATTATTAGTCTGTTGTAGTAGATTGGTAAATACAATGAAAAATATAGGCAACAGACATATATTAAATTGTATGATCCGTTTTAAATTCGTTCAATCTGTATACATTCAAGTCAATAGTCAGAATTTTTATTAGAAATTTCTCAATTTTATGAAAAACTTTAGCAAGTGGTACTAAGCTGGCCATGTTTTTACAGTTAACTTTCAAGCTTCAGATTTTAAAATCAGACATTATTATATCTTTTGAAAACTATTCATAACTCGGATGTAGTAATTTCTAATATATCGAACTTCCACCCACCTATTTACAATTTGTTCTTCTTGTTCACGTGCCATCTCCTGTAAGAAGGTTTGCAACCATCATGGCAATTCGCACCTTCGACGCCGCTGCTCTAAAGAGGTCAGCAGAAGTGCAGTTAAACCAAGCTCTCAAATTATTAGACTAGTTTAATGATTAGGCTTACCTTTGTCGTTTCTGGGTGTTTTTTTTTTTCATTTTTCGGGATCGCTCTTCCTCTTACGCGTCGTCCCTGGATAAACAGATATATTTGATTCCGTGAATCTACTTTGTAAACTAATAATATGCGAAAAAACAGTTTAAACTAGAGATAAACACAAATAAAACGATTAACATCAGAAAAGTTAAAAGCAATGGCGGCCATTGTTAAATTCTCAGTCATGTGATCACAATACATCATTCTCATTGGCAGTTGAAGAGATGTCCGTTTTGAAATAAACCTTCATAGCAGGAGTCAGTTTTTGAAACAGACCTTCAACTGTGAAGTTGAAAATAATTTATTTGCGTCCGTGTTGGAAGGAAACTATTATCATCATGTATGACAACTTAAGTAAACATCATTGAACTCTCTCAAACGGGTCGGTAATATTAAATATTCTCAAACTGGGTTCTACAATAAATGACAGACTTACTCACAATCTAGATATTTGGTAAGTGACGACCGGTTTCGACCACTACAGTTTTCTGGTCATCATCAGGTCACCGGTAAAGTATAATCTTTACAAAGCTAAAAAATTATATATTTGTCCAGTCGTCACAGAGTTGACATCTAAAAATCATACGAACAAGCTGAATTTTGCCGAGAATATTAATTTTTTGAACTCTAAAAAGATGCAAAAAAGTTTACCACGTTTACCCCGGGGCTTCCCCATAAAACCCCCATGTAGGGGATAAAACACAAAAAAAATCGATTTACCAAGAATCCGTACGCCGTAGAAAATATTGTTTATATAAAAAATGTAGCTGAGGTAATTTTAAACAAAAATATTTATTAGCACTTTTGGTGTAGAATTAACTATTATCTCAAAAACAACGCTTGAAGCGACCGTCCATTTTGAATGCCAGTTACGCGAAATTATTGTTCAATAAAGTTTGTATCAGCTCGATGGTAAAAATTTGATATACTTTGATCCAAGTATCCTAAGATGCGTTTTAAAAGGTTAAAAGTGCATATTTTGTATGCAGTTTTTGTATTTTGTCGCAAATTAACTCAGTTTTTATAAAGATGTTAAATAAATAAATTTGGCGCGATGTTTGCCATCTTTTACGATTCTCATAAGATTAATAACATTGATTACCTTTATGTAGTAGTCGTAGTCACATTCTTATTTTTAGATATAAATATTTCAAACTTATGACATGAAATTTCTTTGAGTTGAGGCAACAAATATGAGGCATTTAAAATATGAATAAAAAAACGCAAACCTTAATGTTTTACATTACAAACGATTACACATCACGGGAAATGCCTTCAAGAAAACTGTTTTGGGTGTAGTTTATAGCAGAAGTTTGTTTTTTTTTTTTGAAAAACGTACTGGTGTATTTGAAAAAAAAAGTTTTAAACGTTTTAGATTGTTTGTTATGTGAATGTTTAAAAATCCAGTGTTTTTAAACATATTTTAAATGCCTAACATTTGGTGC